TATCAATTATTTAATTATTAAAATTATTTTAAATTATTTATTATTTTATCTATTTTAAAAGCAATTACTATTATTTATTTTATCATTATTTATTTACTTACCTTATTATGTTATCCTTCTTTTTCCTGCTTTTTATTATCTTTTCTTATGTGTTTATAAATATTAATTTATGTATATTTATTTTTCTAAATTTTTCTACATTTACAAATGTAACAATATAATATTCTTTAATATTATTCAATGCATTCTCTAATTTCAGGCATTATGCTTTTCTTGAAGTTGCCATTAAAATAATATCAATCATCAAATCTTATATCATATTTTTTCATCTATAATTTGTTTTATTATTGACGCTACAAACTTCCAAGCCCGAGTCAATCGGATTTTTCTTCACTAAAGATGAAAGAATTACTTATTTATTTAAGGGCTTATTTAAAGACTGAACTATTTTTTCAACAGAATAATCATTTTCAATTAAAGTTCTTCGACATTTCGAAGAACTCGTATTGCAAAGAAAATTACATAATGATGATGAAGTCTTGGCTGAAGATTCGTCAGAAAAATTTTGAGACAGTGTCAATTAAATATTTTCCCATTGTGTATTTTCATTTAGAGATGTGAATTCTAGTTTTGTCAATCATCGTCAAACATCTTCAAGAATTTCATCATCCATATTTTGATTTATCACTTCTGAAGTATAAATCTAGAGATGAAATGCTTGAAACAGTTTAAAATAAATGATAAGAATAAACATAAAATCTTTGAATATGCACGTTAACATTTTGTCTGATTATTATATACTACTCAATTGTTTTTTATTCTTGCTTTCACTTATTCTTGTGGAGATACTTTTATGTGGAATAAAATGTTCTTCTAAAAATATAAGCATCACAAAAATATCAAAGATTTGAATTAAGAATATAAAATGGAAAAATGAGATTAGACTGGAATGAGAGAGTGAAATTATGAAAAATTAAGTTAAGAATATTTAGATCATCTGTCCCGCTTCCTTTTTTCATGGAATTTTTCCGATTCTTTCTTTTTTTATTTTCGATATTAAAACTATTTCTTAAGGAATGCAATTTATTTATATAATATATTCTTTAATTTCTGTATTTGAACATATTTTTTGTACTTAATTATTTACTCGTTTTAGGGCTTCATTGCGTAAATGCTTATTATGGTAATTTGGATTTTTAACAGCATATGTATAATGTAAGATGCCGTCAATTGTCTACCCGATTACGTAGACAATTACCCCATATTTTCAATATTTTTTTTGTTATTATGCATACAAGGAAACAAGAATGAAATCGTGTATAAAAATTGTATGTATGTATGTACATAGAGAAATGAGAAATCATGCATGTCAGTATGCAACGCTCAATGCATGAACGTATTCTCTAGCAAGTCTAGCATGCTCAGAGCAGGCACGACTGCATGCATGTATGTCATTCAAGAAATCGAGAGGATCGTGTGATTCTATCTTAAGAGGACTAGCGACATTCAATAAGACTCGAATTAAAAGAGCTTTGTTAAAATTATATTACAAATGCTATAAATACATCATTTACACAATATGCACGCACGCACGCACGCACGCACGCACGCACGCACGCACGCACGCACACACATACGCAGAGATTGTCTCTCTTTAATATGTTATATTAATTGTAAATAAGCAAATTCGGTCGATGTGCTATATACAATCTCACGCGCGCGATCTTTCTACATACAATTTTCAGACAGCATATAACAATTTCTCATTTATTGAAGAAATCTGACGCCCGTTGTCGCTGCGGAGGTAGATTAAGTAAATTATCGGTGAGTACAGGTCCTTGTATCCGCGTGGCATTAATTTCCGACTTTTGAGAGATGATTTCTTTAGCCAGTACGTTCGCACGTGGTGTATTAGGTGTTCTGATACCTCCTACAGATGGAGTCCTAGACGATGGCGTTCGTCGAGGAGATGGCGTATTCGATATGCGCAGTTTCTGAGTCGCTAGTCTTCTTGCCGCGGGAGACATAGTGCTCAGCCGATCTATAGTTGATCTCGGTGATGGACTGGAAAGAATATTAATAAATTGTCCTCATAAATCCTCATAAATTTTTTTCACAAGTACATTATACATTTATTTCATTCGGCAATATTCATTTCGTGAAATTTATATAACATATAAATAACTTACGTGGCTAATGATCTCCTGGCAGCTTCCAAGGCTTTATTTTTTCGATCCCTGTGTCTCTCGCCAGCCTTCTCAGCTAACTGCAATGCCAATTGTTCTCTTTTCGGTGGTTCCGCTATTCTGAAAGACGGTCCCTGACTCGTCCTCAGTAATGGTGTGTCACCACCGTCCAATCGGAAGGGTGTCCCCTCGATCTGACCCCATGTCATCAACGGACTTTCGCATTCTCCTGGTCTTGGACTTGGCGTAGCCACGAAACTAAAACCATTCACTCGTGGCGTAGCATTTCTGACAACCTCTTTGCCATCTACTCCAATCTTGCCATCGTTAGCTCTAGATTGTGACTTGGCGAGTTCGTCGATGGTCTCTTTATTTTGTTGCTCGTTAAACGGATTTGTTCGTAATCTCGTATTTTCATGCATTATAGTTTGTTTCTTCTTAGCCAATTCTATTTTCTCTCCCGCTGTAAGGTCCACTCCATCAGGAATGTACATAATATAATTTTTATTCTTGTAAGTCCAACTGTCCACCTGTTTGGGTCTGAGATTGGATCCTTGGATAGCTGGGACATCAGGTGTGGTGGTGGAGGATCCGTCGATAGCTAGCCAAGCTTTCGACTTGTCTTCTGCCTCATAAAGCCAGGCATACTTGAGCTTACGTTTATTTTCAGCCTCAATCATCATCTCTTCGAAACTAGCATTATCCTCGCTTGTATGATTACTCAAATAATCATCGAGACCGATCTTACTTTCAGTATCATTTCTATTTACGGACTCGACGATGTCTGATTTTTGAGACGATGCCTCGGTGGTGGGCGGCGATTCGGCTGACTCAGTTCTACGCAGCGGAGTTTCGAAAGTCGCTGGACTGACTGGTCTTTCAGTGACAGGTCGGCCAGAGCTATACTTTGCGTACAACTCTCTCATTCTGTTCATATCATTCTGCTCTAAAGCTTCTAAATACTGATTTTGTGCCTGTAGCTTTTCCAAGTGCGGAAAGAAATCTTTTTGTATAATGTCACTCATTTTTTCAATATATGTATCTTCATCTAAAATCTTTGGTTGTACATTTTTACTCTTCTTGACAGATCCAATAGGCTTTTTGAATACAGTTAAGTCCTTGATATTTTTAGCGGCTTCAAGAGCTTTAGAACCCGGGCTGTCCGTAATGGAATCTATGAAGGAGTAAAATTGATATGAAATATGATAGAAATGACAAAAAAAGACAAATGATTTGGAAAAGTTCGCTGCTTGAGAAATTTTTATTTTGGAAAATAAAAAAATTTCTTAGAGTTTTATTTGATTTGTTTGTAAAATCAAATAGGAGGAAGGATGAGTTACGTTCGGTACTTACTCATTTTGATTAGCGCTGAGTAGAATCTAGTCAATCAACACGGGTGTGATTGAGGTTATGTAACAGAATTCGTCTCAATGATCACTATAAGCTTGAATATGAAGCACTTGATAGTGTAGAAAATATTTATTTATTGCAAATCTCTGTCGAATGCAATCCGTGCATATCACATCACGTTTCATTTCTTTT